CTCCCAGAATTCTGGCTGGCTGGGGAATTCTGGGAGTTGAAGTCCACACGTCTTAAAGCCACCAAGGTTGAGAAACACTGCTCTGGAGCATTCTGTATAGCTATGTGCAACTGTTTGCCATGTTGCTTGCCCAGCAAGGTGCCCAGAGTTCCCGCTTCATTTGTGAAGTGCATTGTAACAGTGGAAAGCATTTAAATGCAACATCACAAAGATTTCTAACAGTAATGTCAAAGTTCTTGCACCAATGATACATCGTTTTCCATTTCACAAATCATGTTTCCATCATTACTTTATAGCTCCACGCTGAAATGTGATGTCATAACCACAAAGAGCTGATTTACAGTGTTTTTCAACCTTGGCGACTTGAAGATGTGTGGACTTCAACTCCCAGAATTCGCTGATTTACAGTGTTTTTCAACCTTGGCGACTTGAAGATGTGTGGACTTCAACTCCCAGAATTCGCTGATTTACAGTGTTTTTCAACCTTGGCGACTTGAAGATGTGTGGACCTCAATTCTTAGAATTCCCCAGCCAACCATGTTGGCTGTGGAATTCTGGGAGTTGAAGTCCACACATCTTCAAGTCACCAAGGTTGAAAAACTGGGTTATGACCTTACTGATGAAATATGACTGTATTTGCACAGCATACCCATGTAATGTTTGAACCCAAACCTCAGATTTGTGTTGGGAAACTTAATATCAGGATCTAGAAGGGCTGACCAAGTGAGCTTCAGGCCACCAAGACATGAGGTTGGAATGGCTGCATAACCCATCTTTCTGTTATTGGCAAAATGGAACTGGGCCAAAGAGATGGCAGGAGAGATACCACCCACTTTCTTTTAAAGGACAGACAGCCACCTTCGACTAGGAGACACAGAAAATAGATGATCCCAAAAGAGGACATGCCTATCAGAAGCTGGACTGTTGAATACAGTGCCCTTCTTACAGTTGGCCTCAGAATTGGCTGGGGGGAAATCATGCATCTATGGGAGGGGTCAAAAAAGTCAAGATGGTGGCCATGACCATGTAATCAAAGCCCCACCATTTTTGCAAGTGGTAAAAAGGAGGAGGGGCTTCAATGACGTGGTGGTGGCCACTATTTGACCCTCTGCATCTGGGCTGACCAATCTGAAGCAAAAGTCCCTTTAACCAGTTAAAATACCAGTTAGTATTTGTGGTGAATGTATAAAGAACTGCATGTAAGCCTTAAAACAGGCTTAGCACAATGTATAAACAAAAGGAAAAAAATACTTCCCACTAAAACAATGGGGGAAAGCAGAAAACTCTCCTGCCTGCTTTGCACTGTTACTAACTGCACCCCCCACCCTTCCTGCTATCAGATTTGCCCCTGCTCCCTTAACAGCATTAAAATAGGTTTTCCCCATCTTAGCATCCTGCAGATGGTCTGGAACTGCATCTCCTAGATTGGCAACCAGCGTGGCTTGGACTGTGTGGCTAGGATTTCAGAGCAGACCTCACGGCACCTTTGGACCACTGAGTTGGGGAAGGGTAAATCAGAGGAAACAGGCCGGGAAAGATGTATGGGGATTTTAAGGGTCAAGCTAGCTCCTGAGTTCATCTGCAGGATAATCCTCTGGACTCCTGCAGGATTTCCCAAGGCAAAATGGAAAGAGGATCACCCAAAAGGCAATTTTTAAAGCTATCCTTCCCCAGGATGGTGTCCTTCAGATATAAACTCCAGACAAAATCCCCAACTTATCTGGCCAGTGAGGTTACCAGGTTAGGGAAGCCTGACTGAATCCCACAGAAGCGAGATTCTTCTGGCTTCTGACTGCATGAGCTGTTTGCTTTTTAGATTTTTTTTTATCCCACCTTTATTATTTTTATAAAAAAATAATTTATTACATACCTAATACTCCTCCCTCCTCCTATTTTCCCCACAACCACCACCCTGTGAGGTGAGTTGAGCTGAGTGACTGGCCCCAAATCATCCAGCCGGCTTTCATGCCTAAGGCAGGACTAGAACTCACCATCTCCTGGTTTCCAGCCCGGTGCCTTAATCACTAGACCAAACTGGGTATTTACCAGCCAGTTCTTACCCCAGACAGATGAGATGTCAGTCCACATGCCATACTATACTACTGGATTCTACAGCAGGCCACATGCTTTTCCACACACAGAAAAACAGAACTCAATTCTGCATCAGAGAAAATCAGCATCTTATTTGGAAGGGTTTTAGCCTAGCTTTCTCAGCTGCAAGTTCTCTGTACCTTTTTTTTTTTTTAATATATATTATGTCATACTAAAAGAATTCTGAGATCCCTCTAGGAGTTTGAACTGTTACAATCCCAAAACAGATTTTGGCCTATTTTATCTGCTGCTTGTGAGAACTAGCCAAAAAGAAGAGGTCTTCTGAAGGGCACCCAAGTTGGAAAAATCGTAATTCTAAATATGATGCACCCACAAATATGTAAATGTTAACCCACAGATATGTAAATGTCCAAATATTGGACATTTCACCACCAGATATGCCTCTTTTTCTAATAAGACACAAACTGGAATAGAAATCTGAGCGCGCTTCAGCCCAATCCTTGACATGGTGATTCAGAAGCCAGCCCAAGTCCCCAGAAGGATTCCTATAACCATCATCTAAAGCAGTGTTTTTTGAATTTGGTAATTTTAATATACGTGGACTGCAACTCCCAGAATTCCCCACCCAGCATGCTGGCTGGGGAATACTGGGAGTTGAAGCCCACATATTCTAAAGCTACGTTCAACGGCCTGAGTGTTGTTACAGCTCTGAAGAAAACTCAATGTATACCTCCATCGGTTGGTTCAGGAAGACAAAGCAAGACAGTATGCCTCTCTCAATTCCTCCGTTATTTCAGCTAGAAATACAGCTGCCTCTAGATTGCCAGTGAAAACAAATCACCTTTTCACAGGCACTTTTTTGTCCAGCTCAGTTGTGCGACAGCAAATGGCAAGACCTGTTTGTGCCACTTCTCTGCTAGTGTGAATAAATACATTAACGTTCCAACGAAACCCAGCATACTGGGTCTAATTATTCATCTCCTGCACTCATTCCAAATAAAACCCAGAAAATGGCTGCAGAAAACAAACACTTTATAAAGAACCGACGCTAGAAATAATGCAACTTCACAATTTACTTGATAACCTGAAGCAAATTGCAATTCTCCCAATAAAACAGCTACAGCCATGAAATGTCCATGCAAGATTCCCGACTGACAAAGGTTTTGTTTAAGACAGACTTCATACAATCAATTAGGTTAGGGCCCTTACATATTAAAAAAATCCGACGATTCTGACTTTATACTTCAGTATTTGGTATCGCCGTTGCCACGGGGACTTTCCATTAAAAAAAAAATAATCAGAGAATTCTGATTTCGTACTTCAGTATTTGGTATCAGTCTATCACTGGGACTTTCCACTCCTTGCGGCTTCAGATCTTTACAGCTCCTATCATCTCAAGCAAGCATGGCTGAGAATGATGCGGAGGGTCATCCAAGAAAGCAAACTTTGGCTATTGCCTGTAAAACATCTGCTTGCAGCAGAAAGAGCATACTAGTAGATCTCTCCTGTTTAAGGCAAGGCCTTCCTATGGTCTGCATCTTCCTTGCCAGCTCCAAATTAATGCAATAACTTGAGATTCCTTCTTCCCCGTCAAGTGTAACACGCCAGTGGGGCCAGCAGGCAAGAGAAACGGGGTGTCAGTTAACTTCTGAATTACTTTACCGAAGCTAAAACAATGAATTTCAATTTCAAACGTGCTCTAAAATGTACAGAAACCTGTTTTGTATTATTTACTATAGATTCCAAAATGTGAATTCCTAACATTTGGAAGATTTAATATATCTGACCCTTGAATGCCTTCTTTGCATCACAAAGTGCATTGGAAAAACTTTGTTTTTTATCTGTTTTTCATTCACTGCATAAACCAGCAGTATTTTCATTATGAAAACAAGACTATAACCTCACCCACACTTCTTAAAACATTTTGAGAAAATTGTCCCATGTCTTTCATTTTTTCACATATGCACACTGCAGAAGAGGAGTTATTTTAACACACTTGCTTTTACACGGGGGAGACCATGTTAAGAAATAAAAGACAGCTTCCATTCATCACTGCCACAACTTCTAATTGTAGGATCACGATGCTCTTATCACTTTTTCCAGCATCCGAGTTCTCAGTCCCATTCACTCCTTCAAAGTAAATGGAGCCTCTTTATTACGGGCTCTTTATGACACAGATGTCCATTTTTTGAGTAAAGATATCCGGATGATTTGAGTCTGGAAAGGTAAAGTACATTCAAAAATCTGTTTCTGAGGTAGCTGGTCACCACTGCGTATAGAAAGAACCTGGGCATTTTAAAGGTGGATGTTTCAACCCAGGCCTATCCCAAAAGGCCTCCAACAACATTTGTGTATCAGAAAAGAGTCCCATTCCTTCACCCACAAGTCACGGAGACACCTTAAAATTTCCGATCAAGCTGATTTGCTTTCTGAGGGCCCCCTGGCAGAGTTGTTTTGTAATGCAACTCCAAATGTTTTTTAAGGGACCATCTGGTCACATAACTTTTATCACACACTGTACATTTGTATGGCCTCTCCCCGGTGTGGATTCTCTGATGATACCGAAGAATTGTTTTTGTAGTCACTCTTCTGCCGCAATACGAGCAGCAGTATGGCTTCTCCCCTTTGTGGATCTTCTTATGCTTCTCCAGCGACGATTTCGTCTTGAAGTATTTTCCACATTCAACACACTGATGAGGCCTAAGATCCGAATGGGTTACCTGATGCTTTTCAAGGTCTTTAGAACTGCGGAAAGTTTTCTCACACCTCGGGCACTGATGGGGTCTCTCAGGAATGTGGATTTTCTGATGTCTTGTAAGGGAGTATTTATCTCTAAAGAATTTCCCACAATCGGGGCAAGTACATTTTTTTTTCTGTGGGGTCATTCCTTGTTGATCAACGTCAGGCAATTTACCCAGGAAACACCAATCACTTGGCTCTTTAATGGGATGGTCTCCCAAGTGGACTGGGGAGATTTCCCCATTCTCAGAGGACCTTGGGGGATGTTCCTCCATTTGGACTCCCTGTCCTGCATACACTGAACCGTTGGTCCACTGCCGGAGCTCTCCTTTTGTAGGCCTGCCTCGATCTTTAAGCACCGGACCAACATTCCTGAAAGTCTGACCGCCCAACTGTTTAACAGCATTTTCTTCTACACGGGTGCTTTGATGATTGGGGAGGTCTGACCTACCCGTATTCCCAGAACCTGCAAGAGGGTTTTTCCCCTTGTGGACTCCCTGGCATTGAGGGTAGACTGCCACCTGTTTGTCCACATTGTCACTGCTATTGCTAGCTTGACCTTTGACCAAGTTGTCCTCAGTCTCTTTCCTGCCAAACAAACTATCTGAATTTTCTTTCACGTGCATCTCCTGATGTCTGCAAAGGGAATATTTTGTTCCAAAGGCTTTCCCACAGGTAGGGCACTGATAGGACCTTGTCTCGGTGTGGATCCGCTTGTGCCTATTGAGGGAATAACTGGTTCGGAAGGCTTTCCAACAGAAAGAGCATTTATGAATCTGTCCTTCTATGTGTATTTCCCGATGATGGGTAAGGTTGTATCTGTAAGCAAAAGCTTTCCCGCAGATGTTGCATATATAAGGCTTGCCTTCCATGTGCAGCTGCTGGTGTCTGCGGAGGGCTGATTGGGTCCTGAACGCCTTCCCACAGAAAGAGCACTTATGCTGATAGAGCTGGTCTTCCAGATGGACTTCCTGGTGATGAGCAAGGGTATACCTGTACATAAAGGCTTTCCCGCAGATGTTGCATTTATAAGGCTTGCCTTTGATGTGGATTTGCTGATGTCTACTGAGGGTGCTTTTCGTTCTGAACGCCTTCCCGCAGTAAGTGCATTTGTGCTGATAGGCCGGTTCTTTGCCACAGGCTTTCTGAAAGTCAAGGAAGAACCAGCTGTAGGCGGGATCCTTTCCCTTGTGAGCATTTCTTCTGGACCGGCATTCCGTGTGGATTTGCTGATGCCTCCTGAGATTATAATGAGTTGAGTAATCCCGCCTGCAGCTTGGGCACTGGTAGCGGCTTTCCTTCTGCTGCGTTTCCTGCTGGTCAACGGGCAGTGTTTTTTCCTCAAGGCCCTCCCAATCAGAGGCATTTTGAGAAGGTGCCTTTTTGTGGCTTCTCAGGTGGTTTGCAAAACACTGGCTGTCTTTAAAGCTTTTCCCACATTCAGGGCACACGTGCAGATTCTTTTCCTCGTCCGTTTTTGGCTGAGAGGCCACCGGTGAATTTTTGCAGACCGGTTTTCCACAGTCAAAGCATGTGTTATCTTTCATTTCCACGTGGGTGATCTGGTTTTTAGTGAGCAGACCATCTTCCTTGAGGACACTTCTTCCTTCATTGTTTTGCTGCTCTCTCATGCACGCACTCTGATGATTAATGAAAGATCTCTCCTGCTTGAAAGATTTGCCACAATAATAGCAGGTGTAGGCATGTCCTATCAGATCATTTCCTTCATATGCCGTGCAAGACATTGTCTCTGGAACAGGCATCTCGTGGTTCAGTCTCTTGTGTTTGATGGGGGACGATTTTTCCTCGCAGCTCTTTTCACTGTCCAGACTTAGAAAGCAATTGCTATTCCCATGGTTCTTTCCTTGATGCCTCGTGAGATCTTTCTCCTTCATAAAGCCTTTTCCACAGACAGGGCACGTAAAGACATGCTCCCCTGAGTGAGTGGCCGTAAGATGTTTAATAAGGGACCTGACTTCCGTGAAGCTTTTCTCACAGACAGGGCACGGATATGCTTTTTCACTGGCATGCATCTTTTTATGCTCCATGAGAAAGGCTTTCAGAGCAAAGTTCTGTCCACACTCGTGACATTCCCAAAACTTCTTTCTTGAGCGGGATCTTTTTTTATGCATACTTTCTTTATGTAAAACCAGGCTGGTTTTCACCAGGAAACATTTGCCACAGATGGAACATCTAAAAGGTTTGTCTCCACTGTGGATTTTGAAGTGTCTGTTTAGGGATGATCTCCTGCCAAATATTTTCCCACATACAGAGCATTCGTTCTGGCTCTCTTCAGCGTTAACTCCTTGCTGGCTATTACTGCAAGCAACAAGGCCTTTCTTTTTCACATCAGCACAATTAATACTGGTGCGACCCTCCTGCAGGCGGCTGTGCTGAGCCTTGCAGCCTTTCCCCTGCCTGTGAGCGCTCTCCCATTTGCCTAGCAAAGCAGCACGGGGTTTCGCAATCCGCTGACTCTCCCACTGAACGTTCTCCTCCTCTTCCTTCTCACTTGCAATTTCATCATCTGCTGGGACAGAAACAGAAAAGAATGTGTTTCCAGACAGGCAGTAGAGATGCCACCAAAACCATGGATTGGGGCATACTCCAGATTGCAAAAAGTAGCCAGGTTTGGGCTTTGAGTTTAGGAAAAAGTGAGTCAGTGAGACAAAATTAAGATTCACAGTGTGAAAATTGTTCTTGTCTCACAACAGCAAAATTCATGGTTATCCAGCAACATCAGTACTGAAGTTTAAAGACAAAGACATGCAATTTTAAACTGATTTAACAGATGTGTTGTTTCCAAAAAAACAAAAGGAAAACAAATGAAATGGATCCTAGTCCCTAAACTTAAGTATTCAGTATCTATGCTGGGGTGAAGCCATTCCCAAGGACAGGTTATATCTGAAGCTATAAAGGTAACCCCATGAAGATGCCAAGATTTTAGGGGCCACCCTGACCTGAACTAGATGAATCAGAAGTGGGCACGCTCACAGGACTCCGATAGGAATTCCACCAGGTTCCTGCTTCTGGCCATTTCTTCAGGCCTCCTTTGACTAGCCTTTGATCAGCACCATTGCTGGAGCTCTGGAGATCTTGGACCCAGTCTTCCTGCCCTCGTTTCAGATGTGCAAGGAGTTCAGATTTTTGAAGCTGAAGAGGAGAGGCTGGAAGAGAGAGAACAAAGAAGCAGGTGAGCCAAGCATACATTCTTCTGTTTCAGGAAATTCACAAGCAGGTAGGGGCTTTCATGCAGGCAAGAGAAGAGGCTGGCAACAGAAGGACCATTTTTTACATTCATCTCTTTATTTCTCACCTTTTCTCCATCTCTAAGGAGTTCAAGGCAATACACATGGCAGGGCGCCTCGTTTTTATCGTCACAACAATCTTATCTTGACAGAGAGTCCCTGTCTCAGTGAATTTCCATGGATAAGTAAGAACTTGAACCTGGCTCTCCCCAGTCCCAGTTCAATTCCTTGCACACACACACACACACACCCCAGAATGCACGGGCTTTCTATTTTCCTTCTACCAATCCAGGGTAGCTTATCCATTAGCTCTATCCTGCTTTCACCACTATCAGTAGAAGGCAATTTGATTTTATTAGCCTGTTAGGAGCGTGCATATTTCCAAACTACGGACTGGGCGTTTCTGTCCCTCTGTGGCCAACATGGAAGCAGACATATGGTCCTCCTGAAAGATACACACATGTGCATGTGTGTATACATCTAAAAGAAAGACTCTAATAATTTTTGTCACTTAACAAAAGCTTAGAAGTGTAATAACTGCATATTTACAAAATTCAACCAATCAACTGACACTACGTCCTTGATTATATTGGGACACCAATGACTTCCTAAAAATATGCACAGACTGCATTAAACATTCAAAAATTTAGGTAATTATCTTACATGATTTTCCAAGAACTGTAAGTGAACAAATTATAATCCAAAAGGAGCTCAAAGTGGTATCCTTATTTCTGTGCTTTAAATGAGTCCTAGAGTCTTTTTTAATGACCTATAGTCCTGAAACCACTTTATTTGCTATGGGGGTTTTTTGTTTGTATTTGCTGCTTTTATCAAATAAATTTCAATTATTCTTAATTTAGATTCTTTTTCAATTTCAGTAGAATCTAATGTTTTAATATTTTAGTATCATTTTAGTTGGTTACCCTACAATCTTGTTTGATAAATGTTAGTCAATAACTACAGATCATTTTAGGAGAGCAACTGTTCTGCAAGATTATTTATAAACTATTGCATACAGACATAAATTAAGCCAAATACTATGTAGTCTTACATATACTACTGAAAAAGAAGGCTCATTGAGTTCAGTAGGACTTACCCCACACTATCAGGTACAAGCAAATGCTGTACAAATTCAGCATTAGCTATATGGATACCATACAGAGTAAACTGCTTAGATTTAATCAATTTAAAACAATGAATTGCTTAATTGGATGTCACCTTCCCAATTATTTTTTTAAACGTAAGTATTATAAATGTTTACTTATTCAACAAAGCAGTTCAGTCATAGATAGGGCAGTTCTTTCTCATAAGAAAGGCATATTTTATATTTGTAGCTTTTAAAAAAAATCTCCTATGAAGGGAGGGGCTGAAAAAATCCAGTTAGATTACGTTCCTAAGTCTGAAAGCACAATTTCCAAACTGATAAAAGCCCATTTCTGGGGAAGACAAAGTGGTTGGGTTCGCACAATGATTGAGTCAAAATGATTTTTTAAAAATGTATTTATTTTGGCTTGGCATTTTAAGCCAACCCGGCAACTGCAGCTTGAATATCATGCCTTAGGCTTAATGATAATACCAGTTCAGTTACAGTTTATTCAATAAACTGGTTTAACTCAATGTTTGAATCTGCCCAATGACTATTATCTATTTTTAAGGCTTTGCTCCTACATGCCCTGAGAGTTAGACTTATTGAATACCAGCATTAGTTATATGGATACCATACCATCTAAGCAATTTACTCTGTATGGTATCCATACAGCTAATGCTGAATTTATTCATTTTTTGGTAAAATTACTTAAGGAGGTAGACACTTCCCAAAAAAACCTTAACTCTGACTGTCTCATGCACAACTCCTATAATTTCCTTGGTAAGCTATTCAAATCCAATCAGGGCAAAGCCAGTTTATGTTTGTGGTGCTAATAAAAAAAAAAAAAAAAAAGCTTAGAAGCCATCTCACCTCTGAAGATGGTGTTAAAACTCTCTTGCATCACTTCTCTGTAGAGGCTTTCTTGATCAGAGGCCAAGAGATCCTGCTGGATCTTAAAAAAAAAACAAAACAAAACCTCAAAATCTCATCACTTGCAAAGGTCTAGAATTCTTCCAAGGGAAGGTCATCTCCCCCTCCAACCGTTCATTCAACACCACTCCCTTGAGGACACACTTGTCACAGATTTACCTGTGCAGAATGTGCCTGGGCCATTTTCTTCTGACGTTGTGGTGGTCCTTGCAGGAAAAGTATCTGGATGCCAGGAAGAAACAGTGCAGAGCTTTCATAAAGGTTGCCTTCTGGAGACCAAATTCCTTCCCCCACCTGTGCTGCTTGTTAAATAAGAGACATTAGATAAGAGAATGAGAGAGGCCTTATATTGCTCCAGCCCCTAAATCTACATTTGAATCCTCCGAGGAAAATCAGTTTCTTCAGGGAGATCATCTTTCTTCCTCAAAAGGACTATATCAATTTTTCCCAACCCGTGACCTCCACCTATTTTGGACTATAACTCCCATTATCCCATCAATGGACTATTAGCCCTGGCAGAAGGAATGAGAGGCAAAAATGAAATTGGCAGGGCAAGAAACAGGGAGCAAACCCAGTCACTCGCTCTGATGGTGTTACTTAGTTGGGTAATGAAACGTCTGCAAGTAAACAGCCAAGCTCAGAGAGCACCAAGGACTCCACAGTTCAACCCTGAGCTGCAGATCTTCTCTTCTATTGGAAATGAGGGGATGAGGGGAGCCATGAAGCACTCATGGAATGCACCAGGCTGGGTTCCCACTTTTCCATCTTTCAGATCCTTCTCAAAACCCACCTCTACCACGAAACCCCCAGCTTAACCAAGTACTGCACAGGCTGTTTGATGAACGGGGGTCTTGTGGTCCTACATCACCCAGGGACAGAGAAGAAGGCATTACCCTGTTATTTTCCAGCCTTTTTAATGGGAAAAACTTATATATGTAAATGAAAAGTGGAGGAGGCTGGATTGGTCCATACAGGGGAAAAAATACAATAAAAATCATTTTTAAGGCCAGCCAAAATGTTTCAGAATATTGAAGTAAGCTTTTGAATTAACCTGGATGCTCAGCAAAGTGGGGGACAGGAATGGGGGGAAAACATTTTCTGGCTCACTACTGAAGCCACTAGGGCAGCTGTTCCTCCTAGACATCCCTTCTTGGAAGAAATAGACAACTTCTGGTGAAATCGCTTGCACGAGTGTCCATTCAGAGGACCTGGAGCAGACTGGGGAATGTCATTAGGTAGGGGTGCACATTAGCTGGGGAGCCAGTCTGACACAGGAGGGCCAGACTAGAACTGGAGAAATCCAGGGTCAGTTCCCTCCAGTCACCCTTCAAAGTCATTTCATAACCTTGGATTGAACATTGCCTCCTGCATGAACCTACCTCACAGGACTGTTGCAAAGGGAAGAAACTACACACCCTTTTTAATCCAATTCATGTCCTTAAATTCCTTGCAGACAAGATGCAACACGAATAAGATAGATAAGCAAGCAGGGCTCTTGTCTATCATGACCAATAGAGATTTCGCTTCAGTCTGGAGGTAAATTTGGTGGATTTTCTTTAAAAGGCAGGGGTGGAACAGCCATTCATTCCTTCTCTGTCCCAGCATTCCTAGGGGCGAACTGCATGATATTAAACAGGGCCTAATCCAATTGCATTTATCATTTCCTCCAGCACTCCTATTTCAAGGCTGCAACCAGATACAGGCTTTATGACTTCAGCATCAGGCCAGATTTTATTCCCACCCAGTCTGCTGAAGAGTCCTGAAGGACTCCAAAGCTTGCTCACAATTTTAGACCTTGTTGTTGGTCTCAATAAACAGACCGGCCATCCATACGTTTTTGGAATAAGTGCAGCTATTTACTGAATGTCGCTTTCCTCCCTCCCTCCCTCCATTTATCGCCTTCATCAGCAGAGTCTACACGGCTGTCTAAAGCACAGGCGGACGCGGGCAGCAATTCATAAAATAAACCAATCAAGCTTTCAGCAATCAAGGGCATTTCCCTCCCCCACACCTCCACCTCTGAATCCCAAAGAAGGCTATTAAAATTCAAATTAGAGCCCGCCTGGAACCCTGAGAGTTCCTCTGAGCGTGTGCAAAGCATTCCCCTACCCCCCCCACCCCATCCGCAACCACAGCCCATCTGCACCGACCCGAATGCCGGGGGAGGCGGGGCAGGATTTCAAACTGGGAGCCCAGGCCTCCATCGAAGCCAGTGCCATGAAAAGGAGGGACGGAACCAAGCCATTTTCCTTTGGAAAAACGCCTTTTCCTCTCCAAACTGATACTGTAGCCGGGAGGATCATCCCCGCCGCCAAACGGGGGAGCGGGCCGTGTCCCTCCCTACGCAGGAGTCCCTGGGCTGAACCCCACCCTCCAAGGTGGTCTATTTCTGGAGCCCAGAAAAGTTGCACCGCCCTGGGGAGACCAAGCAAGGGAACCGAATGGCCCAGGCTGGACGTGGATCCCCGCGGCTCCCCCGCCCGCTTTGCGAAGCCTTTTCTTCAAAACCTGCCGCCCCCGCCCCCTCCCCCTCGGAGAC